TATCCTCTCTGGATAAATCCACCTGGTGTTAACACTGTCCGACATTCTCAACTATAAAACCCATCGGTGGGCTTATTTAGCCTCTATGATAAATCAGCAGTTTAGGAAGCTCTCGGTTTTCGGTTCACTTCCAAGAATTGGGTCAAAAGAGAGAAAACAGAACAAAGGAATGCATTCAAATGTATTTCACTATTTTGATATAGAAAGACTGCAGAGTAAACACCTTCACTACAGCACTGTCTTATTCAAAAGAGAAAGCGCAAACACCAAACTGACGTTCAATAACCTGCTTGCAACGACATCAGCCGTGGGGTCAAATGGCTTTTCAAGGGCAAACATTGTTCACCCTAACCTGCAAAACAAATCTGCCATCTCTACATTATTAACCCTCTGCTGCAGAGATATTTAACTACGAGGATACGATCCATCACTATCTAAAACAATTAATGACTTGTTTAATAAAAAGTTCTTCTATCTATAGGTAATAGGCATACAAGTGCAGAAAGATTGAAATGTTCAATAACACAGCCCTGCATTTTGGGGAAAAAAATCAGCTAAAGTCTAATATTACCTAATTTGATGATTCTGAATTCAAAGATTTGATATCAGGTACATTTCCATTAGGTTTCCATCAGGTATGACAAAATAAGAATTTTTTTTTTTTCCAATTGATATATATCTATCAGATTTATTGCACTCATTAAAATAACAGCAGTTAAATGTCAAAAGTTTGGTCTGAAAAGAAGTGGACAAATATGTTCAAAATACTCAATTTAATGTTAAAAAATGACATAAACACAAGTTTATACTTGTCTTTTTTCACGAAATCTGTATTTCTCTGTTCCTGTTTGGATGTAATAAAACACCCACAGATGTAGCAAAAACATGTGGGTCATGTTTACATTTTCTTTTGTCACTGGTTATAATTTAAACCTTGAAATCATAATTATGCATGAAATAATGTCATACATGTGAAAATCAGCTGAAAATTGGACAAATAGTTGCGACCCGGCTCAGAGAAAGATGGAAAGAAAGATGTTTTTCTTGTGATTAAGGGACGATATATAACACTTCTTCACCTTACATATGGTTGTCGAAAGCAAAACTGCTACAAAATGCACATATTTTGTAAGAAAGCATGACATGCTAGAGCAAAACAGGCACTACTTTTGGAATCAGCACCCCAAAAGCAGTAAGAAACAAGTATTGGAGTTCATTCAACAAATAGGATGCAGGGCAGTGTAATATCAATCAAATTTGATGACGATGGTTTCAAAATATTTGCTTCTTGAGCTCAAATCAAGCAAACATTTTTTTTTAATTCTGGTCCAGCTGAGCTTTACACTGTGTGGTCCATCTCCTCCTTAAATAACATCTCTGTCTACACACTAATAACATGTATTCATATTCCTCATAATGTATAACTTAAAAATTATACTTCAGGAAATCAAATGCTGCTGTGTTGGAATGTTTGTAAGCAGTCCATTTTCCAATATAATCATTCACATCAATCTCAGAAAATGAGCTCTTTAGGTTCAACTCAATTTGAACTGAATCAAATGAATCTTCGGTCTAGAACAGATCCTTACCAGTACTTTGCAGAGACTTCTAGCTGGACTGATGGTGCTTAGCTTGTGCTGACACGGCAAAAACAATAGCATCCTATTTTAATGACTATAGAGAGGAATCGACAACTACATTAAGAGTAGTGACAAAAGACAGACCTCTGAACACAATAAAAAATGATACCTGTCGACCCTTCTGCAGGCTTCTAATCAAAGAACGGGGTGTTTCAACAGTGAACATAAGGTGACTAAATATGCTCTGATAGAAGGCCAAGGATACTGAGGCAGTGTAAACAATCCTTTATCTGAAGTCACTAAGAACATGCATTCATAATCATAACCCTAATAAACCACACTGCAGCTCAGCAATGTCATATTAACACTCCAGCACAAGACTTTAGAAATGTCTGTGCCAGTTATTGGAGATTTGATCTTTTGGGTAAGCAAATGAAATGCACTCTCAAACAGATGCATTCATTAGTGGTGGGATCTGATTCTCTGGTGTCTCAGGTCCCTTCAAAAAGTCACACTGCCAGCAGAAGTATTACAATAAAGGCCAAGATGGTCTTGCAGATATCTGACTTTAATGGAAGAGAAAACAGTAAGTGCAGAACTGAACTTTCTAACATAAAAGATTGTCTGATTAGTGAGGTTAACTAGCTTAATTAATCTAGTTTGCCATCTGATTTTCTTTAACATTTATATTGCTTCAATATTTTAAAATTTAAAATTAAGAAAACATCATTTTAATTTGTATGTGCGCGCACACACACACACACACACACACACACACACACACATATATATATAAATTAAGTTAATTCAAAATAAATTATCCATTTTAATATTTATAACAGCTTATATTTTAATTTTTAACAATTATTAACATTGAGATCAAGGAAGTTTTAAATACCATTAAAATATAATAATAGCAATAATAATAAACAATATAAAAAGATTTACATAAAAATAATTATGTAATATTTCATATTTATAGCTAATCTACAAGTAGATATTTATATTAATCCGGAAACTAAAATCTAAAAGTAACATCACTAACATTATTAATATAATAATAATAATAATAATAATAATTTATCATTTATTATATTATTAATAACAATCTTAATTTTGGGGTTTGCATCAAGTATTTCAAAAGCATCATGCACAGGTGTCTGCTGATTGACTGACAGCGCATTAAAATTCTTCCTAAAGATGTTAAAAAACAAATGGCGCATGAATTAATTTTAAAAAGAACTCATACGATGCAACATTTGCAAGATCACAAAGCCTACGCTTCTGAAATCAATTTGCAATTCTTTAAAGCACAGCCACAGCAACACTTTTATAACTAATCACCTTCAACAATACATTTCAAGACAATTACTGTCGCCGGACTTCAAATCACCTGCTGTGAGGAATGTTTTCATTATTGTGCATAATATGTTTCTAGGAGGAATATGCTAATTTGTTGAAAAAAAAGGGTATAGTTATTTAGTCTATTCTTTTGAATACCTGTCAGATGTGCTATTGAAGAGCACCCATATATTCTATATATATCTGATCACGTCTATAAAACAAAACTGTAAAACAGACTAATTATACAGGGCTTCCTCAATCACATCTAGACAACTCAGTGGGCTGCTAGTTCAAGAAAATGTGGTTTTGTACATCCTAAATGAGTAAGTACATGACTGTGTGCACCTAAAGGAGGAGACGTGTGGCAGACAGAAGCAGCACTATGCAGTGCTTATCGTCTCCACTGCTTAGCTGTCACCCGCCCATCTGAGAGACTAACCACAAATGACACGAGGACTGCTGGGGGAGAAACCGGCAAATCAATAGCCATCTCCACAGGGAGAGACGCATGGGTTCAGCGCCCCCGCTCCCCGGTCTCTCTACCCAGAGTAACCGCACTGCCTCCCATCACAGGGCAGGACCCTGATTTAAGGCTGACAGGGCTCTGATGCAGCGCCTGTAATAACAGGGTTTTTAACTACATTTAAGTGTAGCACTCTATCTTGAAAAGTTCCCCAACATCCTCAAGTCCACCAATCACTCCCACGGTAAAGGCATCTCTATCTGCTGGATGTTTTATCACATGCTTAAATCTCACAGCTGATTAAAACATCATAGTTCATCAATTAACATCTAGTGAAAAAAGCTGTGTGTTTGTCAGAAACAAATCCATCAAGATGTTTGCAACTTCAAACAAGTACTCAATACATAATATTGCTTTCTCCAGTGAAAAAGTAATCTCGTCTGAATCAGGAGAGAAATATGCACAGATCAAGCACCGTTTACTAGCAGTTTACTAAAACAATTCTAAACAAATATGTCAGTGGATTTTGATGTGAAAGGACAACTGGGGATGGAATTTTTCACTGAAGGAAACGTTATTTTAGATTATGGACTCGTATTTTGTCCATAAGTGATGATTTGAAGTCAAAACTTCTTAATAATGAATTAGTTTTTTATAAACCCAAAAATTGAATTGTATGGATTACATGTGGATTATTGTGTTTTTATCAGCTGTTTGGACTCTGACGGCACCCATTCACTGCAAAGGATCCATTGGTGGGCAAGTGATGTAATGCTACAGTTTTGATGAAGAAACAAACTCATCTACATCTTTGTTGGTCTGAGAGTGAGTAAATTGGCAATTTACACCACTTTCATAAATTGAATAAAAACAAACAAACAAAAACACAACCGATGTGAATTTTTTTATCCATCATTTATAGATTTATAGTTATCAGTATACCACCATTGTTCTGACCAAAGTGATTTGAACTATGACTTCCCAACTTGTAAATACAAACTTCCCAGAAGGACTTGAACCTATAACACAACTATAAATGTACTTCATGCTGTGATATGAAAAAAGACTGTCAAACTGTAATTGTTAATGTCTTTAAATATAGTGTACAGGAAATCTATTCTGAGCTCTTCATAGCACAAGAGAGCTGCGAGTCAAAGCCAATGGTTTACACAATAAGCCCCCACAATTCATAAAATAATAAATTCATTAATGAGGAAGAAGAAATAAACAACATTGCAGTTAATGTTGGGAAAAAAAGAACACTTATGAAACTAATTAATCCAATTACTTCATGAAGTGCACAGACTACCTGCATAATGGCATTAAAAAAGTTTTAAAACTTCATTTGAATATCAGGTCTAAATTAACCAATCAAACTGTTCTCTTCTCTCTTTAGAAACAGGGTGCCATTGTACGTTTCAGCATAATAAGATGCAGCATTCAGAAGGAACAACAGGTCAATTTTATAATGAACGGAGAGAATACTTTTAAAATATCTGTAATGAATTCCAGTGTTCACACCTACAGTTGTCCGCTGATTGGTGTAGTGTTTTGATCTGTGGGCCGAGTGAAAAGCAAAACACCAGTGGAATCCTCAGCAAGCTGCCACAAAGATGAGAGATGAGAATGACAGTGAGATCCAGACTGAAGAAAAAGACATGAAGGTAACAATGATAATGAACAAATATCCCTTTCTATTTTTCTTTTGGCAGCTGAGATTGATATTAACAAGCCATAAACACATTACTGACACAACACACTGTCCAGCAAAATGTTTTTTTTTATAAACACATTAGTGTCACTACACAAATAGGCTCATTAAAAGGGTGACTGCACCATAGAGCTGTCTTTATTTACTGCCACATGACCAGGCCTGCTGGAATTTGTTTCTGTGATGTCTGCAACCTCACAAACAGCAGCGTGATCAGTTACAGGGGCGGCCACCCTAGAGCAGGGGTGCTCAATCCTGCTTCTCGACTTCCACCCTCCTGCCAACTTTAGCACCAGCTTTAATCAAACACTTCTGAACCAGCTAATTAAGATCTTTGTGTTTGCTGGAAAATTATAGCCAGGTATGTAGAAGCAGGGCTGATACTTAATTTGGTAGGAAGGTGGACCACCAGGAGAAGGACTGAGTATCTGTCAGAAACAGATAGGACTATTAGTTGAGTAATGTTTTGAATCAGAGCACCATAGAGATATTGTTTACTTTTTTGGGGGGGGAGAGATCAGTATACACAGGGTTAAAATTGGGCCGGGCCGTCCGGGGCTGAGCCCCAGCACATTTTAAATTGGGCTGGGGCCGTCCGGGGCTGAGCCCCAGCACATAGACTGTATGATATGCATCTATTGCTGAGGCGAGGCTCACGCAGCCTCCAGGAGAAATCAAAACGCGCAACACTAAGAAAATCAGCATCCTGAGGTAAAAATTCAAAATGAAAAGTTTTTATATTTAAAATGCAGTTAGTTAGGCAACATCAAACAAATGAATAAAATGTTTTTGCATAATTCTTGATGAGTTTGATTGACATCAGTGTTAGCCAATTGTTATCCAGGCTGTTTCGGCATGTCGCGCATGTAAATTCGTGCGTGTTCACCCATTCAGTTGGACTGTAATTTGCAGCTGTGTTAGAAAATGTTAGACAAACAGCAGCAATGCATAATTCTGTAAAAAAAAGACTTTTAAAAACTTGCACTGACGAGGGAGAGAGCCCGCCCATCAGCCCGCAAGTAACGTTAACTTTCGGTTCATTCTGTAAAGCCGGGAAACACTACTGTCAGGCCGATTAATAATATTACAATTAATTTGCCCCGCAATAATTTCATAGCGCATCACCGCATAACTGACGCGCTGCGGGGATAATAAAGATTAGGCTATAGTTAGGCCTACTCCTCATTGAAAACCTGTTTAACACGAAATAGCCCAAGTTTCTTCTCTCTTTATTTATTTATTTTCCCCACTTGCCTATGTTGGGGCCACAAGAGAAATATTAAGGGAGTAAATTAAAACATTTAGCTATATAGGCTACCATTATCAGCATCAGCATATGAAGTAGATTCGTCTCTCGTCGTCTCTGAGAGAATATGCGCCGTTAATGCAGCATCTGATGCCGAAAGCGCAATCAGTTTTTACTTTCACTTTCTAGTGACTGAGGTTCACCACATAACTCTTGGCAAAGTTTGCACGTTGCTTATGTGATATATCCATCACACATCCATGGCTCGCCTTCCTGGTTTAAAACAAATATTTACAATATTGCGAGAGCCCCCCAACCCACCCTTGAGTTCGCGGTTGGGGGCCGCGGATTTGCGCTAAGCCACCTCCATCCATTAGTTAGCCTAGTGCCCGCTCACTTTTGGCCAGGCCCGCTCAAAAATAAATTCTGGCTACGCCAATGACTCCAGGGCTCGACATTAGCGCTTCATTAACGCCAGTCAAGTAACATGATTAAAACATCAGTAGCCAAAAATAACACCATGTAAACACCAAAACGCAAGTATTATTCTGATTTTATTACATTGAGGCAGTGTATTACATTGGCAGGTGGGTTGCACCAACAAGGATTAAGCTTTAATCTAGATTAAATCAAGGTTTATCTAATAATTCCCAAACTTTAAACCTTGCTTAAAAATAAGCAGGCTTACATTTAAACCATCATTTTGATCCTGGATTTAATTGCACAATAAACCTGGATTAACTATAATCTTGTTGCTCCATCATTTTAAACTCAGATTTAAATTTCAGTTAAGGATTAACTTTAAACTCGCTGTTGAGGAGGTTTAAATTCTCAAAATGGCAGCACTTATTTGGTGGATTGGAGAAAATGAAAGAGTTCCTCGCAGAAAAATAAGGGACCGTCTCAACCCTGTTGAGTTTTATGATGGTGATGAATTTTCAAAGCGGTACCGATTCAGCAAGGAATCTGTGATGAGATTAAATCAAAAAATTGAACCTGCAATTAGACATGGCAGTGACCGAAATGCAGCCATACCTCCCATGCTCCAGCTTTTAACAGCCTTGCGCTTTTACGCTACTGGTTGTTTCCAAATGGTGGATGGGGACCTTTTTGGAGTACACAAGTCAACAGTGAGCAGAATTGTTGGAAGAGTATCACAGGCTATTGCAGCCTTGAAAAATCAGTATATAAGGTTTGCCCCAACAGGAGAAACATCTGCTGGATTTTACAGAAGAGCTGGTTTTCCAGGAGTTATAGGAGCAATTGACTGTACTCACATTCCCATTCAAAACCCAGGTGGAGAAAATGGAGAGCTGTTTCGCAACAGGAAGGGCTACTGTTCCATCAATGTTCAAGTTGTGTGTGATGAGAAGGTCCAAATCATCAACATTGTAGCTCGATGGCCAGGATCTACACATGATAGCAGGATCTTTGATAACAGCCACCTCTGCGCTCTGCTTGAAAGCCATGCATTTCAGGGCCACCTAGTAGGTGACAATGGATACCCCTGTCGCGCCTACCTACTGACACCCATCCTGAACCCTTCAACGCCAGCTGAGAAACGATACAACACCTGTCACATTGCAGCAAGAGGTCTTGTCGAGAGGGTGTTTGGTGTTTGGAAAAAGCGGTTTCCCTGCCTGCAGAATGGGCTTCGAACAAAGCTTGATACAACACTGGCAGTCATTGTTGCTCTGGCAGTGCTGTATAACTTTGGGAAAAGACTTGGAGATGAGGTACTACCAGAGTTTGAAGTGGATTACCGAATTGAGCACACAGAGGATGAAGGAGAGGAGCACAATGCTGCCACTGCAAATGGCAATGCTGTCCGGAGGACCTTGATTGAAAACCATTTCACTGCATAATAGCAGTGTGTATGTGTATTTGTATTTATATAGCATGTAGTAGTGTATAGTATGTAGTATAGTACAGTAATGTAGTAAATGCAGTATAGTATGTAGTTTATATATTTATGCATGTATGCTACTTTAAAAGTGGTCACTTTTATGCAGCACACATTCCTTACCTTACATTACCATTTTTGTATTTAGTCAATACTGCCCTTTTTCTAAAAAAAAAAAAAATACACCTTTTCAAACGTTTCACCTTTTCTTTTATTACAGTAATACGACAGTAACATGCATTAATGATATTACATAACTAACTATTACCAAGTTATATATTTAATCAAACAAACAAATATATAAATAAACGGCTAGTTTAAATATTTACAGAAATAATAGCCTATTGTTTACTAGTCATATATTTAACAAATAAATAAATTGTTGTTCGTAATGTTTCCTTCATTTTTAATCTATTTCCTACATTGCTACAACTCACTAAAAACTATTTGTACTTGTTGTAGTTCTGTAGTAAGTTTTACTTTTTGCATCTGTAATACTTCCTTTTGTAAAAGAAGCACCTCTCTCTGTAACTTTGCATTTTCAATTTGAATTACATTCTTTTCTTTCTCTAATTGTAGTAATTCAAGATGAGTTTCGCTGAAATCACTTTTTTGTCTTTTGCTCTTTGGGGGCTCTGAGCATTGAGCTTGCTTGATCTTGTGCCTGAGCTGCTCCATCGCTGATGCGTTTATTAGGCGCGGCAGGCGTGCAGGAACCGGTCCTTTCATCGTCATCATTCGCATCTAGGATAAATATTGTAAGTTCCGCATTATCAAACCAACAATGTCCAGAGCAAAGAAATGTGAAAATGAAATGCAGCTAACATACTTTTGTGGGACGATGTCGGTGACTCCAACTTCTAATACGCTGCGCCATTTATGCGAATGATCTGATAGCGGTTAATAACGGCAGTTATTTTATATATTTTTTTTTATTTAAAGTTCCATTACTTGCACTAGCCTTTTTGTAGTCACTCAAGTCACATTGTTGCAGTTTAGTGAGGCTACACTGAATCAGAATTAATCGCAAGTGAAAGTTTTAATCTCAGGTTAATGTTTTAATCGCAGATTTGTTAATCTGTGTTTAAAATTAAGTGGTGCAACACAACTCGATTTAAAAGAAAACCCAGATCAACAAATTCTTGATTAGCTCTAATCTTGTCTTAATTTAATCCATGTTGGTGCAACCCAACGATTTATCCAATAAAGTCTTATTCATATTGAAAAGAGAAGTATCTTGTGTTTTGTGCTTACAAGTTAGTTAGGCAACATCACACAATGTTTTCACCATTACGACTGTTTAATCGTTCGATAAACAGTTCAAAAAGCAAATACAATAATATTAGGTCACTTACTTTTAGGCGGAAACACAGCGCATCTAACAGCAACCAGCCGATTCATTGCTGATTGATTCCTTGTTTTGAACGAATCGGTTGAGTCAAAGTTTCATTAACCCATGCATAAACATCTGATGAATCTGCCGTTTGAACGAATCATTTGATTGAACAACTCAATGACTCACTCGTTAAACGCTCACTACTGGCACATACTGGCGTTTTAATTTCGTTGAAAAGTATCATTTCCACCATCATTTCTTGTTTGTATATTCAAAAATGTTTAAAATAATCTCATAATATTATTTAAAGCAGTTGTATTTGTCAGTGTTCAGTGTTTTTCACACTTCAGCTATAAAAACTATATAGAATAGAATGAAGCGAAAAATTTGAACTGCAATTAAAGTTTAAACAAATATAAATAAATAGATAAATATTTTTAAAGTTATTTTTTAAATTACACACTTTTTGTATTTCAACAACTAGATAACATTAAATGAAAATAAAAATAAATGCATTTAAATTTAATATAAAGTTCAAATAAATATAATGTACATATTTAATAATAATTATAATAATAATTACACACTCTTTAAAAATGATATAGTTTTAAAAACTATATAGTTAAAAATAGAATAAAAATAAATGCTATTAAATCAAATATGAAAAAGTTTTAAATATAATATAAATACATAATATATTTTTAAAAAGTATTTTATTAAATTACACACTTTAGCTTTAACAACTAAAATGGCTGTGGCATGTTTCACAGCACAGTATCCCATAATCCTCAGGGCAAATGTTTCAGCAGCTCTCGCATTACTGTGCATATATGAATGTGGTCGATCATTCAGCAAGGGATCTGTGGCAGCGGTGAGTTGGCGGATGACATTGGGCTGAGTTAGCATTGCCTTCGTGGCTAACTAATGAGAAACTGCAGAGATAAGGTACCCACTCCTCCGGTTGGGTTCGTCAGAATAAAAGCGGACTCCTCGTGTTGCACCATCCCTCCGTTCCTGTTGCTCTACCCCCTGGCTGCCATGCTGATGCTCCGCGCTGCACGCCTCTACTGCCTCCCGAAGGCCCCTACGGCTGTCTCTACAGCAGGCCTAATGAGCCACTGGCCTGACCGGCTCTTAATGCTGCAATTATGTGCCATGCTCAGAAATCCTGGGGGTGTTTGCTTGTGCTAAGCAAAGCCTGGGCCATAAAAGCAACCTTTCTCTGCCTGCTGCTCTCCTGTGATGCACACTTCCAAATTGCACACATTAATATCTGGTAGCAGACAGATGCCGCCCTCGTCGACCCCCTCGACCCTCTCAGAGAATGTGCTGTGCTGGAAGGGTGAATCTAGTCGATGGTGAGTGAAATTAAATAACTAAGCTAATGGGAAATGTATGCCAATTAAGGCAATTATACCACACATTTAAATTAAAGCAGTATCTCAAGATTTTTTCTCTCTCCTGTTTCATGAATGCGTGGGAGACCATGAGTATTACACACAAGTTACTATGGTAAATACAAGGCCTGTGAGCTGATAGTGTTTCATTTTGTTGTGGTTTTGGTTGAAAGAGCTTTTAGAGGTCTGCATTCCTGTGGGATCCGATGCAACTGAGTGCGGCCCAGGACAAGTTTTGAATTGCTGAGAGCGGGGCAGAAGATGTGCACACACGGGAAGAAATAAATGATTAGTGGAACTCCCCCATTAAAAAAAAAAGTATATACATATATATATATATATATATATACTGTATATATATA